ATTCTCTGAGGGGGTCAACAAGCATGTAGACAAGGGGGATCCAGTGGATATAGTGTACTTAGATTTTCAGAAAGCCTTTGACAAGGTCCCTCACCAAAGGCTCTGAAGTAAAGTGAGCTGTCGTGGGATAGGAGGGAAGGTCCTGTCATGGATTGGTAACTGGTTAAAAGACAGGAAACAAAGGGTAGGAATAAATGGCCAGTTTTCAGAATGGAGAGAGGTAAATAGTGGTGTCCCACAGGGGTCTGTACTGGGCCCAGTCCTATTCAATATATTCAGTGAAGTGGCAAAATTTGCAGATGATACAAAACTACTCAAGATAGTTAAGTCCCAGGCAGACTGTGAAGAGCTACAAAAGGATCTCTCAGAACCAGGTGATTGGGCAACAAAATGGCAGATGAAATTCAATGTGGATAAATGCAAAGTAATGCACGTTGGAAAACATCATCCCAACTCTACATGTAAAATGATGGGGTCTAAATTAGCTGTTACCACTCAAGAAAGACCTTGGAGTAATTGTGGATAGTTCTCTGAAACCATCCACTCAATGTGCAGCGGCCGTCAAAAAATCTAACAGAATGTTGGGAATCATCAAGAAAGGGATAAATAATAAGACAGAAAATATCACGTTGCCTCTATATAAATCCATGGTACGCCCACATCGTGAATACGGCCTGCAGATGTGGTCGCCCCATCTCAAAACAGATCTATTGGAACTGGAAAAGGTTCAGAAAAGGGCAACAAAAATGATGAGGGGGATGGAACGGCTTCCGTATGAGGAGAGATTAATGAGACTGGGACTTCTCAGCTTGGAAAGGAGATGACTACGTGGGGATCTGATAGAGGGCTATAAAATCATGACTGGTGTGGAGAAAGTAAATAAGGAAGTGTTGTTTACTCCGTCTCATAACACAAGAACTAGGGGTCACCATATGAAATTAAAAGGCAGCAGGTTTAAAACAAACAAAAGGAAGTTCTTCTTCACGCAATGCACAGTCAACCTGTGGAACTCCTTGCCAGAGGATGTTGTGAAGGCCACGACTATAACAGGGTTAAAAAAAGAACTAGATAAGTTCATGGAGGACAGGTCCGTCAATGGCTATTAGCCAGGCTGGGCAGGGATGGTGTCCCGAGCCTCTGTTTGCCAGAGCTGTGAATGGGCGACAGGGGATGGATCACTTGGTGATTCCCTGCTCTGTTCATTCCCTCTGGGGCACCTGGCACTGGCCGCGGTCGGCAGACAGGACACTGGGCTGGATGGACCCTTGGTCTGACCCAGTCTGGCCGTTCTGATGTTCCAAGTCTCCGGAGTCCCACCCTGGCGCTTTAACCATGGCCCAGCCTTCCTCTCCGTTTCCAGCTCGGTCGGGCCACATCCCAGCCGCCATGCGCTTGGAGCAGCTCCCATGGGAAGTGGCTCTAGGAAACGGCGCGTCCTCACGTCAGCCGCGTCCGCTGCTCCGGCAGCTCCCAGCTCGGTCCCAAAATAAAGCAAGAGCCTGCGAGAGCACGTGGCCGGAGCCGAGCGCCAAAGGCATTTTTAAAGGGACACGGTCAAGGCTGAGAGGCCTAAAATTAGAGCAGCCAGCTGTGATTGGGAGCACAGGTGCCCGAGCTGTGCTCGGACATCCCCCACCCCCAAACTCAGCCCTCTCCTCTGACACTGACGAGGAGCTGGTGCCTCGGGATCCAGCCTCTTGGCAAGAATGGGGCAGGTGGGGAAGACGCGTCGGAGGGAGGAACTTGGGACCGTAGGGAAAGCCAGGGCCTGGGGCTCGTTTCCTTGCACAGCGGCCGTGGAGGGTTATTGTGAATGGAAAAAACGTCCTCGCAAGAGGGCTGAGTGCTCGGTGTTAGAGATGGAAAAGGTCTATTGCAGCATCTAGTCCCATTCCCGCCGCAGGGCAGACCGGCCTCCCCTCCCCAGTGAGTAGAGATCAGATCCCGGACTAGAGGGACACGACAGACCAGACCAGCCCAAGGGCCAGGAACCCGACTGCCGAGGAATCGGAGTCTCACGCTCGTCTTTTCACAAGCGGTGCTCACACTTGGGGGTGACAGACACGCACGCACGAGTCGCACCAAAGCACAGGAAAGGCCGGACTTCCCAAGGAGCTAAGAAGGATCGCCCGGGAATGCACCTACAGCAGATCGGTTACAAAACAAGAGCAAAGGTCTCTGCAAATCCAGAAAACACAAATAACCTTGACACTGTCCCTGAGCGCTCAGGAGAATCCCGCCTCATCTTCCAGAGTTTCTCCAGGACTCCTGGGTCTCAGCCCCCGATGGTTCGCACAGGCAATGTTACCCATTACAATCTCAGATCCCCTCCCAGAGGACACTGCCTCGTAGGTCCTTCCTCTGAAGCACTAGCCCCTGCTTACGCATGGGGTAAATGAGGCAGAGAGAGGCAGCGACTTGCCTAAAGTCATACAGCGAGAGCCAGAGCTGGGAGTAGAACCCAGGCGTCCTAGGCCCCGTGCCCCACCCAGAGCAGGCAGTGGAAACCAGGATTGCAACCACCTTGGCTGGGTGATGACTCAGCCACACGGAGCCAGCTCTCTGGGGTTACATCATGAAGTGAAGTGTTGCTTTCACCCCCCACCCCAGTCTGGCAACGCTCCCCTTTCCCCGCCTGAGCGGACCAGCCCCTGCAGTAACATCCCGCGGCCGCGCTGTTGTTTTCAGGTCGCTTTGCACTACTCCCCTCCCCTGGATTGCGCCGAGACCTGTGTGATCAGCGAGCACTAAAAACCGGTCACGGGAGCTTCTGCAGAAGTGATTCAGTTCAGAACAATCCAGCCAACCTTGGGCATGCAAATCTGCTGTGGGCGCGGAGCGAGGCCGGGACGCCCTGACGTACACTGAGAGGAGCACGGGCCAGGCGAGAGCAGAACCAGGCCGGCAGAGTTTAAACAGGGACCATTTGGACCAAGCGCTCTGACTTCCTCCTGCACGGCACAGGGCAGGGAATCCCGCCCAGGGGCTCTTCCGTAGTTATCTGCTTCTTTTCCCTCCATCCTTGATAAACAGGGAACCAGCTGCAGGCGCTGCTAATGTTCCCCCCAAAACTGGTTCCAAGCAGCCAGGACAGAGCCTGAGCCGGCACCCCCACGGGGGTCATTCGCAGGCAGGGCTGATGAGAACAATTCTAATAATCCTACAAATATTTTGTCCCGGTGCCTCCAGTCGAGGATCTGGAGCCACTTAAACACGAACTAATCAGCCCTGCAAGAGAGGAATCGGTGCTCCTTCCCCATCGTGTGGGGAAACTGAGGCACAGAGACTGGGGGGGAGTGATTTGCCCATCCAATCGATCCCCCTCCATAGCAGGGTTTCAGGCACTGGCGGCCCCTGGGTTTCTCCTGCTTTCTGGCCGACGCGTACAACAGTTTAGAAATGCTTAAAGGGGTTCATTGGGTTCAGCACAGGGGTGTGTGGGTGATGCATCAGGGCCGGTGCTTTGGCAAGACGGGGACCTGATGGTGGCTCAGCACATTAAAGATTGCAAAGCGCTGTGAGCTCGGCGGCTGAACGGCGCGAATGGGTCCTTCTGGCCTTGCGCTCCGAGCAGCTTTCTGCACCGCTGGGAATAAACCCACATTTTCCAGCGCCCGAGACCTGGTCACAACTCCATTTGTTTTGTCCCTGATTTCACCAGGCTCAGCCTAGTCCAGCCCCAGGACTGGTCTGAAAGTGCCCAGTGGACAAAGTGAGGTGGCTTTCCCGCCCCACACCCAGCAAACAAACACAACAGGTGCCCAGGGCACAGCGCGGCTGGCCCGGCTCCAGGAAACGCCGGCCGTTGAACGAGCAATTCCAAGTTCCTTAACTTGCCAAAGCCTGTTAGTCAAGTGTACTCAGGAGCTGAGGCCCCGCAGAGAGACCGAGAACTTGTAAAGCAAGATACCAGAGTCCTGCACTTGGCCCTTGTCCTCAGGCATCTCCTTCCCACCGCCCGGCACATTCCCACTCCACATTTTGAGACAGGGAACCCCGCAGCATTTGCTTTCCTGGTCAAACCCATGGGCGCTGGAGCCTTTGTTGCCAGGGGGGAGTGGTGGTGGGGATCCTCTGGGCCCTGATCCTGAGACAGGGCCCTGCCCGCACGGACATGACCGTTGGACCGGGGGCTTGGCTCACCCCCACACATCCACTGCCTTGCCACTGTTCAAACAAATCAATTCATTGCAAAACTACCAAGCGACCCCAGAGCAGCGGAGGGTGGCGGCGTCCCAGGCCAAAGGCGGCTAGTGACTCCGGGGGGGGGGGCCCGAAACCGGGGGTGACACGCACCACAGGGGCCA